CTGTGGGGGGCGGTGATGATGATGTCGCTGATGATGATGATGATGATGATGAGTATGATGATGATGACGCTGACCACGATGCTGATCATGATGGTGGTGGTGATGTTGATGATGATGGCGATGCTGATGGTGATGGTGATCAGGTTGCTGATTATGATGCCCATGGTTATGATGATGATGCTGCTGCTGGCCAGGTTGACGAAGATGGGAGGAAGAGGATGAGGAGGAAAAGGTGGACGATCACGATGAGGAGGAGTGGGGAGATTACGGGGAGGATGAGGCGGCGGTGGATCGGAGGGGGGGGCGATGTACCAAGCACCCCCCCTCCACGCTCCCCCCTCCACGCCGTTCCCCCTCGCCCAGCCAATTTTGGCTCAGGCCGTTTCAGGCCTCATGTCGCGCCCTCGCGGCCGCGACCCGTGGCCTCGCCGCTCGCCATGCGGCGAGCCCGCACATTCGCCTGCGCCGTCCCCCTCGCCCAAGCCCTCGCCGAGGGACTTGGGCGTCATCCGCCGCCCCGTCCCGCCCTTGGGCGATCGTGGCAAGTTGACGCAGGAGCTGCTCGCATACGTCGAGCGCGTCGGAGCGAAGAACGCGTTCAATGTAGGTTGGTACCACCACCTCACGAAGGGCAAGGCCGCCCACGCCCCGAGCATGACTAGGGGCCCTGACATGGTGGGCCGACGGGGAACCTCGGTTCTCTTTCGAACACCACCTGTGATATCATGATTGGTGATGGTGGTGATGATGGGAAGGATGAGAAGAAGGAGTAGGAGGAGGAAGAGGAGGAGGAAGGGGAAGATGAGGAGAAGGATGAGGAGGATGAGAAGGAGGGGGCGGACGGGAGGGAGATGGCGAGGTCGACGGGGAGACGGATGGGGCGGGCACGAAGGCGGATGACGAGGCTGTCAGGGGGGTATAGCGGCGAGGGGTGTGATATGGGGGAGAAGCAGGGGGGGCGATGGGGGGCGATGACGAGGATGGGGAACAGGGGCGATGATAGGAAGGAGGAAGCGTACGGATAATGAAGAAGCTGACGGGGGGAGGGGATGATGATGATGATGGTGCTAATGGTGATGTGGTGATGATGACTAGTATGATGGTGCTGCGGCTGATGATGATGTTGGCAATGATACTGATGATGATGATGCTCATGATGATGATGCGGCTAATGATGCTGATGATGCTGCTGGCCACGCGGACTGTGATTACGGTGGTGATGCTGATGATCGTGTTGTTAGTGTTGGTGATTGTGATTATGATGGTGATGATGAGTATGATGATGCTGATTATGCTGTTGATGATGGTGTTGCTGGATTATGATGACGATGATGTTGATGCTGTCGCCGATGATGATACTGATGATGATGATGATGATGATGACGATGACGATGACGATGACGATGATGATGATGATGATGGTGGTGTTGATGATGCTGATGATGATGATGATAATGATGGGGATGATGGTGATGATGCTGTTGCTGTTGCTGTTGATGGCGGTGGTGGTAATCATCACCATCAGCATCGCATGTCGGAGGGCACGGGGCCGACAAATGGTGGGAGAGGGGATGGGGACACGTGACCCCGCACCCCAGGTGGAGGTTCTGCTGCGCCACATCCCCACCGCCGAGGCCAACTGGACGGAGGTGCGCGACGCGTGCGTCGACGTCTTGACTGCGTATCCCAAGGAGGGGGAATGCGATGATGCGTTGGCTTGGAGGAGGAGGGTGAGAAGGCGGATGGGGGGTGGGGAGCGGGAGGAGGAAGAACAGGAGAAGGAGGAGGAGCACGATGATGATACGAGGGGGGAGGCGGACGTGGGTGGAGGAGGTGGAGGCGGGGGAGGGGGACGGTAGGGGGGAGGGGTGAGGGGTGTGGGTGGACGGTAAAACGGGGCATGCCAGAGACTGGGGCAGGAGGGTGTTGGCCCGTCCCCCTCCCAATGTTACCATCCCCCTCATTGTTCAGCCAACCACCTCGTTGGCTTCCCCCTCCTCCTGTCAGCGCGCCTCCCGCCCCGCTCGTTCCCCATCCCGCCCGTCAGCCCCCCCCCCTCGCACAGGTGCCCGAGGGCCTCCCAAGAACCCGCGGGTGCTCCTGCTGCCCGTGGAGGAAGTCTAGCAGATAAATTGGTCTGCGTGATGAAGCATTTCCGCAGAGTGCGTGACAATGCTGTTCGTCGACGGCAGGCGTCGACTCGTCAATAGACGGGGGCGGAAGTGACGTGGTCGAGCGTATCGGGGGAGGGCACGATGGTGCACTGACATCGGACTGACGTCGGGTCTGACGTCGGCCCGACGTCAGGTCTGACGTTCGTACGACGGCGGGCATGACGCTGGTCGAACGTCAGATCTGACGTCGGTCCGACGTCAGATCTGACGTCGGTCTGGCGTCAGATCTGACGTCGGTCTGGCGTCAACCCTGACGTCGGTCTGGCGTCAGATCTGACGTCAGTCGGACGTCAAATCTGACGTTGGTCCGACGTCAGGTCTGACGTCCGTGCGACACCATGCGTGACGTCAGATCTGACGTCAGATCTGACGTCAGATCTGGCGTCGGATCTGACGTCGGATCTGACGTCGGATCCGGCGTCGGATGTAACGTTACCACTTGTGTATACATCGTACCCGCATTCCCCATTGCGTTCGACCGCGGCATGTCCGCGCCCATAGGCCCTCCAGCAGTGCACCGAGCCCCAGAAGGACACCATGTGGTATTTTTTGCACCTGATGGGGGTGACTCGCGAGGACACGCCGCCCAGGACAGTCGGTCTCCGAAACATGAATAGGTTTAACGGGGGAGAACGATGACTGGTACGAGCAGTGAAGAAGAACAGGAGGAGGATGCGGAGGAGGAGGAGGAGGAGGGCGGAATGGGGGGGAGAGGGGAGGGCGGATGGGAAGTGAAGAGGGATGAGATGAAGGAGGAGAAGCACAGCGGGAGGAGATGGCGGATGAGGAGGAGGAGGAGGAGAGAGGGGGAGGGAGGAGGCGGAGGATAATGAGGAGGGGGAGGATGAGTAGGAGGAGAAGTAGGAGGGGGAGGAGAACGAGGAAGACGAGGGGGATGAGGAAGCGGGAGGGCGGAGGAACGACGGCGATGATGTTTGTCGCCCTCCCCCCTTGCGCGTCATAGGAGGCGCTGCCCGCCAGAGGCGCGCGGGCGCCGCGCGGGCGGCGCATGCTACCCCGACGGCGTCGACAGCCAGATGGTCAAGATGGCCTCCGAGGACGATGGCGGCGCTGCTTCAGATGCAGGCGATGATGGAGGAGGAGGAGGAGGAGGAGGATGAGGAGGAGGAGGATGCGGATGGGGAGGAGCAAGAGCAGGAGCAGGAGCAGCAGGGTGAGATGGTAGAGGGGCAGGACTGGGCTGAATAGAAGGAGGCGGATGGAGGGGGGCTCGATCAGGAGGAGAACGAGAAAGCTGAGGGGGGGGTGGGGGGCATGCAAGGAACATAATGGCATGGAGGATGGAGAACGGGACGGGGCATTGTAACGGGATACGGGACAAGGGCGAGCGAACGCGGAAAGATGAATGAAGGATGGAGGGCGACGCGCGCTAAGGAAGACGGAAGGGGAGATGCGGATGGAGAAACATGGAGGGCGAGGGGGTGATTGGGAACAACGGGAAACATGGTTAGATATGATTGGTGGCGCTGACGGCGACGATGCTGGTGATCGCGACGACGACGTCGGTGACTAGCACGAGGGGGTGTGGCGATGACGATGGTGATAATGGTAATGATGACGGTGATGATCTTGATCATGATGATGATGGTGCTGCGGATGGTGATGAGGATAATAGTGTTGATGCTGGTGATGGTGATAATGATATTGTTGTTGGTGATGCTGACGCTGCTGACGATGGTGATGGTGATGATGGTGATGATGCTGATGATGATGCTGCTGATGATGATGCTGATGATGATGCTGTTGATGATGATGATGATGATGCTGATGATGATGATGATGATGATGATGATGGCTATGATGGTAAATGTACTGGTGATGGCGGCGCTGGTGATGATGACGGCGGTGATGAAACACATGTGGCGATGCCGAGGGCGATTGTGGTCGTGGTGTTGGCGATGAGGGTGATGTCAAGCTTGGTGCTGACAATAATGAGAATGACGCGGGAGGACAGGGGATGGGGCGAAGAGGGGGGATACACCTGCGAACGAGCGGGGGGGCACCCGCCGCCAGGCACGCTCGACGACCACGACGTCGCGGACACCATCACCGACGGCGGCGCCAACGCGGGCAACAACACCGACGACCACGACCTCAGCCCTGCTGAGTTGAAGGACTCGTTGCCGCTTGGGCGCGGGGCCCCCTGCTGTTCACCCAGCCTCATGCCTCGCCCCTACTTAGTGTCATCCCATACATTTCCCTTCCTCCCTTATCTCGCCTGTCCCACCACCCCCCACCCTGTGTACCTCCACGCACCCCCTCCCGCAAGTCGCCCCCTCGCTCATCGACCCCCTCGTCCTCCCCGTCCGCCTTACTTCCCAAGCAGCCTCTACCGAATGCACGTCATCATCGCCGCCTTTCCAGCAGCTGCATGGATGGAACGGGAAGCTCGTAGCGTTTCAAAATGGGCTCTCGCTCGACGCGCATTTGTAGTGACCAGAAGAAATCAGCACATGGTCCACCAACCAGGGGGGGGGCTGCACTCCGTGACCATGACCCCCATCGCTGGTGCAGTCAGCACAGCAACACTGATCACACTAACCAGCCTAGTCACCAACATCAACACCATAACACCTCGCCATAACGTCAAATCGCATCACCGAAACCACCATGCACCTCACCGCAGCCACCATCATCGCCGCAAGCATCACTACATCAATCACCATAACTAGAACGTGCCGTAATCATCGTCGATCAGTTGCCATTTGGTGCAAACACTTTCAGCGAGCTCGTGGAGCGTTGTGCCTTCACGTGATGGTGGCTGGCCCTTGCGCGTCTCGCTCCCCGTCTTCGCCGCCAGCGGTCATGGCTGGGCCGTCTGGGCAGGAGCGCCGCCGCAGACACAAGTCCGCGCCCGCGCTCAGCGCGGCCTCGCGCTGGGGGGCAGACCCCAGTGAGCCGCGCAACTCCGTTGCGCGCGAGGGCGGGACCGAGGTATCGGAGTTCGAGCAGGCATTGAGGACGTCGCCATCGGAGGGGCATCGCCGCCTTGAGCGCGGGCGGAGCTTCGCGGCGCCCAGTGACAGAGCCGACACCCGCGCAGAGGCGATTGCTGCCGCTGTGGCGCATGGTGAACGCATGAAGGAGGTTGATCGCCAGATTGCAGAGGATGAAGCGGTCCTGATGGCCGAGGTGCTGCCGGATGACCGCGACTGGCAGCATATGGCAGCAGATGAGGAGGCTTCAGGTGGCAAGACCGAGCCCGCGGTGGAGGCTCTCGTCGAGGTTGAGGCCATCCCCTCGTCGGAGAGCGCTTCCGATGTGGACGCCGTCGCCGCGGGTGAGTTCGAGGGCATCTCCGACGGGCAGCAGATCGTCTCCGTGGCGGGGGGCAGCTCCGACCATGAGGCCGTCGCCCTGTCGCCGACCAGCGCCCCCCGCTTGCGCGTCATGGCGAGGCCCAAGGGCCGTGCGGCTCCAAGGCCGTCACTGCCGAACGAAACGCCTCCTTCCAAGAGGGCAAGGATCGGGATGAAGACGGCCGCGGAGCACTGCAGTCCGATCTACACGCCGACGCCGCCGTCCGACTACGACGCCTCGATGGTGCACCCGCTGAAGGTTGTGGTTTTGCGTGTCGGTGGCTCCCTTCATCTGGGCGGGGCTGGGGTGTCATGAGAGCTTCGGAGTAACGGGGCGATAAGTTAGGCTGGGATTGACGTGATGGGGCGGTCGGAAAATGCACCCCGCACCCCTTGACTCGTCCGATGCTCTCCATGACACCTCGGCCCCGCCCAGATGGAGGCAGCCACCAGCGCGCGAAACCGCTGCAGGTTGCGTCTCCGCCGCCCGAGTCGAAAGAGGAGGTGGTGATGCCCCCCGTGGACGTCGTGCGCGACACCTCGCTCCGCGCATCGTGGTCGTCAGGTTCCGTCGGCTCGGACGCGACGACGCTTCGCCTGGCGAGCTACGGCAGCATGGAGGACAGCCCACCACAGGACGACCCGCCCCTGAGCGACGACCTGCTGCTGCAGCTCGCGGCCTGGATGATGGACGGCGGTGCTGGGGACTGAGCGCCGACACACGTACTGGGACTACTACAAGGACCGCACGAACGACACGGGTGCATGATGGTGATGTTGCACGATGTGCGTAGGGTTTACTTTCATTTTGGTCTGCGTGCCAGATGCTTGCTCGCGTTCGAGGTTTGCGTTGCATAACTCACCATCGATGGCTGTTTGGGGTAGCCAAACCAACCTACAATCGTAACCACCATCGCTACCAACATCGTGACCATCGCCAAAACGCACGGTCGTTACCATCACCAGCATCACCATCACGCCCACCGTCATCAACACCGTCGTCAGCATCATCGTCATCATCATAATCAGCAACACCACCACCATCACCAGCAGCCGCATTAACACCATCGCAGTCGTCGTTGTCATGACTCATAGCTGTCATCACCCCACGGTTAACCTCAGCACCCCCGTCGGCGCCATCATCGCACTCAAAATTAGCATCACCACGATTAACCTCCTCAACCCCATGGCGGCCACCATCACCATCATCCTCAACATAAAAAATGCCGTCGGCACCGGCGCCGTTGACATCGTCGCCATTGTTAGACCACCATCATCGCCGCACATCGCCATCGATATCCCCGCCCTCGGCCTCGCAACCACCACCAGACTCGCCATCGCCGCATCAGCATTACAATCAGCTTTGGATTCACATGGTCCTTGGGACACCAGCGCACGGACAATGGCATACGTGCGTATGTGTTACATGACCGTATGTTGCCTCATCCACGCCCTCCTGGCAATCTGTACCACCTCTATGCCTCATGCACCTTCTCTCCCACCTGGTTAGCTCCGCGGCAAATCTTCGTGCCTGACCCCAGAGGTCTGAACTATCCCTGGGGGTGTATCTCCCTGCCTCGCCTCCCTATACCGTCTCTACCGTCCCGCTGTGCTGCCCACCTGGCCCGCCTTCTGCTTCAGAAAACCAATGCAGCCGCCCTTGCCTCGGTTCCCACTTCCCCCGCGGCCAGGAGCTCTCCAAGTGGCTGAAGGGCTGGCCCGACGAGCACAAGGTCGACCTAGGAGCTACAGCCGAGTCCGAGGATGACGCGTCCATCTTGGCGTCGGCCATGAAGGCCGAGGCCGTGCCAGCCAAGAAGAGGAAGCTGAAGGCAGGATTGGGTTGCGGTGATGAGGGGGAGGACGGATAGGAAGACTAATGACGATGTCGTGGGCGAGGGCGTGGGTGAGCGGGGGTGGAGGTGGGGGGGGCAGGGGCCACGGTGGCAGACCAGGCGGAGGCGGAGCGATGACGAAGCGGAGGGACAGAGGACGCACAGGATACAGAATAGCTCACATCCAACGGCCAACCTCAATATCTCCCCATCCCTCCCTTTGTCCATGCCCCCCATATATATATGTATGTATGTGTATGTATGTATGTATGTATGTATGTATGTATGTACATATATATATATATGTGTGTATGTGCCCACCTCTGGCAATGCCGAACGCCCCGACCAGCACAATCGAGAAAAATTGCTGGCGCTTCGCAAATCCCCACCAGTCCATCCAGAAACGATGCCCAGAGGAAGTGCCTCGATCAGGGAAGTGGGCAGCACGCTGAGTAAGTCATTGTGAGAGATCTTTGGATATGTTGAGCCATCTTGGGGGTCATCTTGAGCTCTCCCAGGCGCTCTTGGAGTCACCTCAACCAGTGCCCCCCCTCAAGAGGCCAAGCTGTGGCGAAAACCTCAGTGAAACCAATGCGTTTGGCATTCTCACCGAGGCCTCTTGGAGCCTCGTGTGCGCCTCTGGGGGGTCGTTGGGGGTCTCTTGGGGGCCTCGTGCGGGCATCGTGGGGGCCTCTTGGAGCGTCCTGGCCACCTCGTGGGGCCCTCTGGCACCCTTGGGAGCCGTGGAGCCATATTTGGGCCATCTTAGGTGGGATCGATCACAGGAAGTGGGCTATATCAATTACAGCCCCCAGGAGGCCAGCATGAGGCCAAAACCCTAATAACAACTGAGTTTGGCTTCCTCGCGGAGGCCGTCTTGGACGCTCCGACGACTCGCGACCCCCCCCCGTCCAGGTCCAGGGGAGGGGGTAGGGGTAAACCCCTCCCCGAAGGGGGGAAGGAGGGGTGACAGAGGAAACGCTCTAAACCACCGGCGCCCAGAAGGCTGGTGGGACTAGATCCGTTCTGTGAGCTCCAAACTCTGCCGCGGTTTGACCGTCGTCCGAAGGCGGAGGTGAAGGAGAAGCGGGCCCACGGCACGGACGCGAACAAGGACGCGAGCAAGGGCAAGAGCACGACCCAGAGCAAGGCCGTGGGCGGCAAGGTCAAGAACACCATCGCCGACCTCAAGGGCCTGCCGCGCTCTGGGAGCCACGCTGCGTTCGGCAAGCTCAGCGTGTGCTACGGCACGAAGGCCTCGTACATCACGTACAAGGACGAGGGGGGCAGGCCGCGGCTTCTGATCCAGGTCGGCGCCTCGATGTGCGACAAGCACGCCGAGATGGTGGCCGAACTTCTGCAGCACGCAAGTCGGTCAGGCTGCGCGAACGAGAAGCTTGTCGCATATCGTGGCACACTTCTCGCTCAGTAGTGTATGCGTGCCGAGAGGGGCGGCAATACCGACCAGGAGGAAGAGGAGGACAAGGAAGAGGAGGGAGAGGAGGACGCCGAACACCCTCGGCACGCGACACGCCAGCGTTGAGATGCGCGCTGCGGTTGTCACAGGGGAGGTCGAAGAGGGGATCTGGGAGGAGGCAGAGACACACACAAGGCATGCGCAGCAGGCCAGGGAGCGCCTGCTGCCGCCGCGCATCGCGTGCAGGGACAGGAAGCCCGACACTGTCGGGGTATGTGCTGCGCTTCCAGGGCTCGCCGTGCGTTGAATTTCGAACGCAGTTGAACGGAGCGCCCAGTGGTCCACGCGCTGAGCTTCCACTGGTCGCCCGACCCTCGAGCATCTTCACCTCCTCCTCATGGTCACACCCCCGTCCTAGAGTGTTTCAAGGCTTCGCCGATGGGTACCTCGCCCTAACCACGGGTGCAGGTGCTGGTTGAGTGGGTGACACGCGTTGCCATCGGCATGTTAATTGCTGACGCCGCGCGCGTCGCCACCAGCCCGTCCAGAAACGATGCCCAGGAGAGTTAGGGTGATCAAGGAAAGGGGCCGCGCATAAGAACAACAGGCGGGGGGGGAACCGTCCGAGGCGAGGGGAGGGGGAGGAGGAAGGAGGAGAAGGAGGAGGAGGAGGAGGCGTGTGGAACAGATGGAGGATGAGAAAGATGGAGCGGATAAGGAGGGGGGATGAAGAGTAGGAGGGGGGGAGGAGGATGAGGAGGAGGAGGAGGGGGGGGGGGGGGGGGGGGGGAGGAGGAGGAGGAGGGACTAAGAATACGATACATGCTATGCAGACAAAGAGGGGAGGAGTAGGGAAAAGGGGCCAAACCTAGAACTCATCGGGCATGTCTTGCAAGCGTTTATGGGCGCCTCGCGACAATTTGGGGAGGGGGGTTGGGGGCATCTGGGTGCCTGGGGGGGGGGGGGGGGGGGGGGGGGGGGGGGGGGGGGGGGGGGGGGGGGGGCCTATTGCATCCTCTTGGTGACCCCATTGGGGGCGTCGTCGAGGCAGCTTGGGCGCCTCGTGGGGCCGTCTGGGCAACTCTTGGGGCCCTCTTAGGACGCGCTTGGGTACCATGGGACGCTCGTCGGGCCATCTTGGAGGACATCGATCAGACACGGGGTCTATGCTTACCCTCGTCGTTCTAGGGTGCACAACATCGCTTCTTGGGACATTCTTGGTGCGCTCGTGAAGCACACGTGGACGCTCTTGGGGCTGACGTGGGCCTCTCACGGGCCCCTCATGGGGCCCGCGTGAGCCCTCGTGGAGCCATCGTGAAGCCTCGGAGGGCAGTCGGAAGCGACTACGCGAGACAATCACACACGTTGGTTCCCCCTAGGTGTTGGAAAAATGGTTGCCCGTTCAAAGCCTCATTGGGGAGCCCGTTGGCCAGTTGGATCCGTCTTGGAGCGGTCTTGGAGCTGCTTTTGTACCATCGTGGTGGCCATATTGGACATCGCGGGATGTCGTGAGCCATATTTGAGCTCATATTGGGCTCTGCGAGGCGCTCTCGGAGCCATATTGTGTCCGATTGTACGCTCCAACCCCTCCCCCCCTCCCCGCCATGCACGTCCACGGGATGGGCATGGGGGGAGCGCACCCCTCCCCGAAGGACTGACGACGCGGCACGCTGGAGCACACACGCACGCCCTAAAGGGCTGTTGGGATTCACAGGTTAGTGCATGCGACTGGTCACGTTGGCAGTGACCGAGCAAAACTTCGACATGTCACGCGTGATGTGTAGGCGTGTATGTGGGGTCGCGAACAATTCTCGACCCTCCCCGACCCCCACCCCCCACCCCCTTACGCTAGATGTGACTAACTGGCGTGGCGGTCAGCGGAGGGGGAGGGGGCGGCATCGGAGGTGGAGGATGACGGGGAGGAGGAGGAGGAGGATGAGGATGAGGATGAGGATGAGGAGGATGAGGAGGAGGAGGAGGAGGAGGAGGAGTGTGAGGAGGAAGGAGAATCCTGTCTAAAGGTGCGGTCGTGGCTCGGCCGCCTCGCCCCCCTCGCCCTCCTCCTCGCCGTCTCATGTTCACGTCGAGCGGCCCCTTTCTTCCAGACCGCCGATCGTGCCGAGCGATGAGGGGGGGTGCGGATGAGGAGGGTGCAGATGGGGGCGCTAGAGGAGGAAGAGGGTGAGGAACAGGAGAAATGCAGATGGAGGATGGTGGCGATGCAAGGTGGGGGTGCGGGCGGAGGATGGGACAGTAGGGTGGGGAGGTAATGGCTGATGGATGACATGTGGGCGGGGAACGGATAGCTAGACGGAGTAGTCATAGAGGAAGGGGGGAGGCGGGATGGGGGAGGTGGTCACTGAGGGGAGAGGGTGGGCGGGCATGGGGGGATCGAGAGCGACAGGGGCTGGGTGTGTGAGCGCATGGGGGTGGATGCAAGGAGGGTGGAGCTGGCGCGC